CGCAACGCTGTATTGGGTGGGTGAAAATGCCACGTTGGGTTTTCGGGACGCATGCGGACGGTGGCAGTGGGGCCTTCGGTGGAGTGCACTACGGGGCCACGAAATTCTGGACTGGGTGGGTGAAAATGCCGCAGTGGGTGTTTCGGGACGCTTGCGGACGGTCCCACTGGGGCCTTCGGTGGAGCTCCCTGTGGGGCCACGAAACGCTGCACTGGGTGGGTGAAAATACCACATTGGGTGTGCGGGACGCATGCGGACGGTGGCACTGGGGCCTTCGGTGGAGCTCCCTGTGGGGCGACGAAACGCTGTAATGGGTTGGTGAAATCGCCAAATTGGGTGCTTCAGGACGCACCCGGACGGTCGCACTGGGGGCTTCGGTGGAGCTCCCTATGGGGCCACGAAACGCTGCACTGAGTGGGGGGGACGCATGTGGACAGTAGCGCTGTGACCTTCGGTGATGCTCCCTATGGGGCCACGAAACGCTGTACTGAGTGGGGGGGACGCATGTGGACGGTGGCACTGGGGCCTTCGGTGGAGCTCCCTATGGGGCCACGAAGCGCTGTACTGAATGGGGGGGACTCATGTGGACGGTGGCACTGGGGCCTTCGGTGGAGCTCCCCAAGGGCCACAAAGCGCTGTACTGAGTGGGGGTGGTACTGGGGCCTTCGGTGGAGCTCCCCATGGGGCCACGAAACGCTGTACTGAGTGGGGGGGACGCATGTGGACGGTGGCACTGGGGCCTTCGGTGGAGCTCCCTATGGGGCCACGAAACGCTGTACTGAGGGGGGGGGACGCATGTGGACGGTGGCACTGGGGCCTTCGGTGGAGCTCCCTATGGGGCCACGAAACGCTGTCCTGCTTGGGGGGGCGCATTGGACGGTGGCACTGGGGCCTTCGGTGGAGCTCCCTATGGGGCCACGAAACGCTGTACTGAGTGGGGGGGACGCATGTGGGTGGCACTGGGGCCTTCGGTGGAGCTCCCTGTGGGGCCACGAAACGCTGTACTGAGCGGGGGGGACGCATGTGGACGGTGGCACTGGGGCCTTCGGTGGAGCTCCCTATGGGGCCACGAAACGCTGTACTGAGTGGGGGGGACGCATGTGGACGGTGGCACTGGGGCCTTCGGTGGAGCTCCCTATGGGGCCACGAAGCGCTGCACTGAGTGGGGGGGACGCATGTGGACGGTGGCACTGGGGCCTTCGGTGGAGCTCCCTATGGGGCCACGAAGCGCTGTACTGAGTGGGGGCGACGCGTGTGGACGGTGGCACTGGGGCCTTCGGTAGAGCTCCCTATGGGGCCACGAAGCGCTGTACTGAGTGGGGGGGACGCATGTGGACGGTGGCACTGGGGCCGTCGGTGGAGCTCCCTATGGGGCTACGAAACGCTGTACTGGGTGGGCGAGGGGGGAGGAGGGGGAGGAGGAGAGGAGAGGAGAGGAGGAGAACGCGGGGACCGTCTCTCCAAAACGAGGACACAACACCACAGGATGGTTGGGAATCAACGACTTGCGCTTCTTCGGGCGCTCCAGGGACGCCTCTCGGAGCTCTCTTGGGGCCTCTTGGAGGCCTCCTGGGAGCCCGGAGAGCCGTCGGAAGTCTGTATTGGGCTGCTTGGGAGCGTCTTGGGTCGTTCTTTCGCGTTCTGGGGGATCCTTGGGGGCGTCTAGAACCGTCATGGAGCGTTTTGGGGCCTCCCTGGGAGGCCCGGGGGCGCGGTACCGGGAGTTCCACCCAGATGTCCCGGAGGTGTGGGACGCTCCCGGGGAGGGGCGTATGTGTTTATGTCATGTATGTGCATATATATATATATGTATATATATATACACGTATGTGTGCACATACATGTAGCGTCTCTCGGTATGTCTCTCTCTCTCTCTCTCACTCGCGCTCTCTCTCTCTCTCTCTTTCTCTACCTCTCTTGTTCGTTCTCTCTTGTTCGTTTTTTTGTTTTCTCTCTCTCTCTCTCTCTTTACTCCGTCTACGATCTCTCTGTCCGCGGCCCCGGCGCCAGACCCGCTTTAGGTCGGGTGTCTACCAGGGCTAGCTAGGCGTATCGGCCAGCTCGCTCTCGCTCTCCTTTTTTCTCTCTCTCTCTCTCTCTCTCTCTCTTTCTCTCTTTCTCTCTCTCTCTCTCTTTTGCCCGATACCTCTCTCTGTCACTCTCTCTCTCTCTCTCTCTCTCTGTTTATCTGTCTCTGTCTCTCTCTCTCTCTCTCTCTGTTTCTCTCTCTCTCTCTCTCTTTCGCTCTTCCTCCCTCTGGCTCTCTCTCTCTCTCTCTCGTTCTCGCTGTGTTTCCTGGTCTCCATATTGGTATTAATCGTCATCTGTTTTGTCGTCAATACACCCCCAACGAACAAAACATTAGCCTGGCGAAGGACCCAACCATATGCAGTCGTGGGTCCCGCCATTGTGAGTATCTTCTTCGGCGGCACAACTTATGGGGCCACGAAACGTGTGAGGGGGTGTGCCGAAATGGGTGTAGGGGACGCATGCGGGCGGCAGCACTGGGGCCTTCGGTGGAGCCCCCATATGGGGCCACAAAACGCGTGAGGGGTGTGCCGAAATGGGTGTAGGGGACGCATGCGGGCGGCAGCCCTGGGGCCTTCGGTGGAGCTCCCTATGGGGCCACGAAGCGTGCGAAGGGTGTGCCGAAA